GGGACTGGATTATATTTTGAGAGGGATAGGAGAGCAAACTTGTTGCAAAGCATTAGTGTTAAGCAAGCATCCTCTGCTTCCCATGACAGTTCCCAGGCCTTTAGAGTGGCTCAGAGGGTGGGAGGCAGCAGCCTCATTTCCCCACAGGCATGGGAAGGAAGGAGCTTATGCATGTAATTGGAGGAGTTGCTGTGGGCCCTTAGAGGGAGCAGGAGGCCAGGGATGGGAAAAGCCAGAACAAGACTGTTTTGAGAATCAGAAACTAATGGGAAAAGCAGCAGGAGTTAATGCAACCCTATAGCAGCCCTTCTCCCAGGTTCATTCCAGTAATCTCCAGGCTACCTGTTGCACAGCAACTGCACTCCCCCTTAGGCAGTCTGGTCCCCCTTACCTTTAACTTCTCCCCATGAAGTTGTCTCCATCTCCCCACATCCTTCCCCTGCCTGTCTGAGCGGAAGGAAAAAGGACAAATGATAGAGATGGTTGAAATTTTTTTGATGAGAAGTTTGTAAAAAAAACAAACAAAAATAAAACCAAACCAGTTTAATCAAACATTTTTGTGAAAATAATTTCATTTGCAATTAAAAAAAGTCTTTCCCGCAAAAGAGTCCTTATTTCACAATTGTAAAATTCCCTTCTCTCTTCTCTTTTTCCTTGCAAGAAAAATTTGGAGATCATTGAGAGAAAATGTATGTGGGAGGGAACAAAAACCCCTCTATTTTAATCCCCCCCTATAAAACTGTGATTACCGTGTGTCATTTTTGTTATTTCAAAAGAGAAATGGTTACTTATTTCACTATTCCATTACAACCAACCAAGCTCACTTTTCCCATGTGGGAAAAAGAGAGAGAAAGTATTTTCCTTTCCTTTTTTTGCCAGTGAATGTAAATCAATGTTGTGAGGTTTTTTCTCCCCCCTTCCTCCCCCACCCCTTTCTGCCCTCTTTTGCCCACCCTCTAACTATTATGAAGATGGAGACTTTTTAAAAGTGAGAGAAGAAAATGAAAATCTGAAAAAATAGTCTGGATATCATTCATATTATTTCACTATGCGGCAAAAAGGAAAAAAATAAAAAGAGTGAGAGAAAGGGGAAAAACCCCAAAATGCAAAAATGATTTTAAAAAGATGGTTCCATTTTGAACTCTGCAAAAACAGCTTGGAAATTGAAATTTTTTTGAATTTTCTTTTTTGCGTTTTATGATCTGTTCTCATACATATTGGGTGAGATTCTCACCTCCCTTTCGACCCAATTATGTTTGGTAAAAGGGCTGGATTGGCATAAAAGGAGTCTTAAGATCTATCCAGCCAGTACAGAATTCTCCTGGTGTAAGAATTGAGGAAGAGAGCAACTAGCTGTCCTCAGAGGATCCTGTCACAAGCTCTGAAGATGGGGTGCATAGTAGGGGTGAGGCTAAGGATGGGAAGGCCATGCCAAAAGTGAGATCACAGAACAGCACTGTAGAGATTCTGGGCAGCCCAGTCATGCAGAAGAAGCAGGGCACAGGCTGTTGTAACTGAGACAGCTCCTCATGTCTGCCTAAATTAGGGGCCACTCCAGTGTTAACAATAGTGCAGAGTCACAAAGGTGTAAGGGCAGCTTAAAAAAACACCTTAGCACCACTAAACCTCATGCTACCCCAGATTGCAACGTCAGTGCTGTGTCCCTGACCAGTGCAGTACAGACCTTCATCCAGTACATTTTTTTTTTTAAATCACATTGCTTCTAAGGTGTTTTATTGCATAATACACAACTGCATGTATGTGTCCGTGCGCCTATTCTTTCTATGTAGTTACACACACACACACACACCTTGGCCACTATAAAACCCCTGAAGTGACTGGCGTTTTTATCCATAACCAAGACTCAAAGTTCAGTGTCATGAGGGGGCTATTGTGCAGTTAAAACATTTTTTCCGAGAAGGTTCCTCACGTTCACTGGTATGAAGAGGAGGATGGTGAGTCCAGAATGAAGGTATGCTTTTTTTAAAACAATGCTTTCCTCAGTGTCCCGACAAAGAGAAAGTAGCAGCCATGACCCGTGTTCTGAACCACCGTTCAAGCTTTTGGGCTTTTTTAAAATCAGCAAATCTCATCTAATTTTTGTGAGTATAAAATATAGAAATTGTCCAACACAAGCCAAAAATTTTGAACTCATGGATCTTTCTAAAGCATTTTCCCCAATGGTCTCATGTGTCAGACATTTCATTCTGTTACACAATCCTTAGACCATTCCATTCCTAGGGAAACAATCACTTCTATTCTCCCAAAAAAATGAAAATTAAAATTTCAGCTGAATATTGTGAAGAAAAAGAATGAATAATCCCATGAAGAGTTTTGGGAAGGCCTAAACAGGGAAGGATCTCAAATATTGTCAGATCCCTCTGTGCCTGTTATTCTATACAAGCAAAAAAAATAGTACAAAATTGACATCATACTCTGTCTTATACAAAGATCTACACACAAACTTCTGCATTTCAGTATAGCAGAGAGATGAGTATGTTGAGTGAATAAACACAAAGGTTTTACTTAAACCTCAAAACTAATATCCCTTCAGGTATGTTGTGCATTTGCAAATTGGGCAGAAATTCATATTTCACAGTGGCCACAGCAAGAATGTGGGCAAGAGTATTCTTTATGCTGTATTTTTCAGTAGTCCTCCATAAATCACTGGCTTTTGTCCACAGCTGGCAAACTTTATAACATCCTCTGATATACAGCTTATGTCCTGCATTGACGATTCTAATTCCTTTCACCAGTGTCAGTACATGGAAAAAATGTTAAAAGGCAGCAGCAAAACATAAATGTTAAAAAGAAAAGGAGTACTTGTGGCACCTTAGAGACTAACCAATTTATTTGAGCATAAGCTTTCGTGAACTACAGCTCACTTCATCAGATGCATACTGTGGAAACTGCAGAAGACGACATTATATACACAGAGACCATGAAACAATACCTCCTCCCACCCCACTCTCCTGCTGGTAATAGCTTATCTAAAGTGATCACTCTCCTTACAATGTGTATGATAATCAAGTTGGGCCATTTCCAGCACAAATCCAGGTTTTCTCACCCTCCGCCCCCCCACTCAAACTCACTCTCCTGCTGGTAATAGCCCATCCAAAGTGACCACTCTCTTTACAATGTGTATGATAATCAAGGTGGGCCATTTCCAGCACAAATCCAGGTTTTCTCACCCCCCCCCCCCCTTTTTCCAGAAACCACACGCACAAACTCACTCTCCTGCTGGTAATAGCTTATCCAAAGTGACCACTCTCCTTACAATGTGTATGAAAATCAAGGTGGGCCATTTCCAGCACAAATCCAGGTTCTCTCACCCCCCCACCCCCATACACACACAAACTCACTCTCCTGCTGGTAATAGTTCATCCAAAGTGACCACTCTCCCTACAATGTGCATGGTAATCAAGGTGGGCCATTTCCAGCGTAAATCCAAATTTAACCAGAACGTCGGGGGAGGGGGGGGTAAGGAAAAAACAAGGGGAAATAGGCTACCTTGCATAATGACTTAGCCACTCCCAGTCTCTATTTAAGCCTAAATTAATAGTATCCAATTTGCAAATGAATTCCAATTCAGCAGTTTCTCGCTGGAGTCTGGATTTGAAGTTTTTTTGTTTTAAGATAGCAACCTTCATGTCTGTAATTGCGTGACCAGAGAGATTGAAGTGTTCTCCGACTGGTTTATGAATGTTATAATTCTTGACATCTGATTTGTGTCCATTTATTCTTTTACGTAGAGACTGTCCAGTTTGACCAATGTACATGGCAGAGGGGCATTGCTGGCACATGATGGCATATATCACATTGGTGGATGTGCAGGTGAACAAGCCTCTGATAGTGTGGCTGATGTTATTAGGCCCTGTGATGGTGTCCCCTGAATAGATATGTGGGCACAGTTGGCAACGGGCTTAGGAGAGTGATCACTTTAGATAAGCTATTACCAGCAGGAGAGTGGGGTGGGAAGAGGTATTGTTTCATGGTCTCTGTGTATATAATGTCTTCTGCAGTTTCCACAGTATGCATCCGATGAAGTGAGCTGTAGATCACGAAAGCTTATGCTCAAATAAATTGGTTAGTCTCTAAGGTGCCACAAGTACTCCTTTTCTTTTTGCGAATACAGACTAACACGGCTGTTACTCTGAAACATGTCATAAATGTTAAGTCATTCCTCCATCTTGTGGGCAACAACGGAAACAACAATTCATGGCATCATGTCACAATATAGTGTAATACAATGCTACAATAACCAACAGAGGCATCCTGGTTTATTTAGCAAACTTCATATGTTATAGTTAACGTTAAGCGTTGAATTTTAAAAATCCTAGCAGTGAAATCAGAAAATTAATGTAGTATTTTCTACTTTTTGCAAAACCCTATAAAATTAAGGATGTATCTGTTTTATGCCAGTAAAGGATATCACGTGCAGAGAGCTTAGAAGAGTGAAAGAATTTAAACACAGAGGATCAATGTTCACCAACGACGGTGCCCTCCTGACTGATGCCTGGCAGCATACTAAAGCTGCTTGATGGAAATGGTGGGAGTGACCCCAGTTCTCTTTGAAGTTAAAAGGCAGAATGTACTTTGACTCATCTTAATGTACACACCAGAGACCTGGTCAGTCATTAAAGAGAAACCAGTATGCTCTCCACGGAAATGAAGATGTTCAGATGGTCGAATGGTTGGGCACTCCGTGATAGGAAATGAAATTAGGTTGTAAGGGGCCTAATGTTGGTTACTCCCATTGAAGACAAGTTGAGGGAAGCTAAGCTGGGCATATGCAGCAGAGACTGGAGAGTTACATTGGAGGATGATTGCAATGATTTTGGATGGAAGATGACCAAGTAGGAGACTGAAGACTTGGTACGTGGACCAGATATCAGCGAAACTCAGAGAGATCAATCTCCCTGACAGTCTGGCATATGATCATAAGGTTTAAAGGAAGGCTGTAAAAGTCGCTCACCCCAAACAGGAAGGTGACAAGAAAGGACGAGATACCGATTCTCTTGACATTTATTGCTAGCAGCAGCCTGTTTTTTAAGCTTTCTTTTTAATGGGTTACATCAAGATGGTTTCATAATACTGGCACAAGCTACCATTAAGGAAAAGTTAGACACTTTGTGGTCCATTCTAGAAGAATCTTACGTATAAAAAAGGATAACGAACCACTCCTCAAACAATCTTCATCACACTGATATATCATTCCAATTTACAACAGAAAAAGTCTTGCACAAAAATTGCACAACACTCACATTAGATTGTAATTAAACTAAGGTATTAACCATTGTATCTGATTGTTTTCTGATTATAAGCTATAAGAAAGTTGCAACAGCTCAGGTAACTTAAGTTCTAACTCCCCACCTGTCCTCTATAGCATATTAGCATGCAACAATTTTATAGGTTGTAATGAATCAGTGGGACAAGCCAGAGTGGGCACATATGTCAAAAGTTTTCACAGGTACATTTAGCCCAGTCTCATTGCTCTTTAAAGATAATACTTGATCTGGGTATCAGATCTTGAAAGGCTCCCACTGGCAATGCTGCCTCATCTCCACTGGGCACAGAGGAGTCCCTGTGGCACCTCAGAGACTAACACATTTATTTGGGCATAAGCTTTCGTGGGCTAAACCCCACTTCATCATCAGCATCCTCATTGTTTTTGCTGATACAGACTAACATGGCTACCCCTCTGAAAACTGGGCACAGAGGCAGCAGTGCCAGGGGAATGGAGATAAGAACATATGGGGAAGCCTAAAACCACAGACATATTGGAACTCAAGACGTGGGCTTATTACCCCCACCCTCCTTTCAGTGTCTCTATCCTATCCTGTAACACAGCGCTGTAAATTAATTGCAGATTAAGGGTGAGAATAACAAGTACACTTTGACTGCTTTGCACTGGCTCTGGAGCATCACAGAACCATCCACAGCCAACGGTTCAGAGGTAGGTCTGGTAAGAGTGGAATTTTTACTAATGCTGTCCTGAATAAGGTGACATTGACATTCATTTGGCTAATTTGGCTCCCCGGGGACATCTGAATAAAACGGTGACCCAAGTAAGTGGCTATGACATTCACTGGTGTACAATCTGGACCGATGGACAGCTATGCTCCTTCAATTCACCAACCTGGGATGTCTCTTACACTGCTTCACAGAGAGCAACCACTCCTGGTCTGCTCTCTCACAGTCTCCAGCATGCAGATCACTCCCAGCTATACTGTATGAGTGCTATAGCCAGCCATTCATGAATTATATTGCAGGTGACACCAGAAGACTCCTAGTCCCAGACTTTTCCCCAGAAATGTATCTTATATTGCACAGCATCCTCCTGGACAATACAAGCTCATATAAAGTCCATCATTTCATTAATAGAAAGCCTTGTTTTTCAAAAGGAGTTTCCCAAAAATGTCAAAGCACACGCTCATTTAAGATAAGACAATAAAACGAGTTTATTAGCTATGGAAAGATAGATTTTAAGTGATTACAAGTAATGAGGCATAAAAATCAGAATTGGTTACAAAGAAATAAAAGGTAAAACACAAACTAAATCCTAACTTAACAAGCTAAGTGAAGTCAAAGTGAACATCTCTCTCCCCACATGTTCTAGTGTAATTCGTGAGTGGCTGGCTATAGCACTCACACAATATCGGTGGGAGTGATTTACATACTGGAGGCTAAGAGAGAGCAGACCAGGAGTGGTTGCTCTCACTGCGAAGCAGTATAAGAGGCATACCAGATTGGTGAATTGAGGGAACACAGTTGTCCATCAGTAACTTGGGGACTCTTACAGTGGCACATACTATACTTTCAAGAGTGAAAACTGCTCATTATGATATACGAACTCCAAACATGAAAGATGAAAATGTAACCAAAATACCCAGTCCCTTCCTAATGTTGAACATCAGGCAAACAACTAAGTGAAAGCTACCTTCTCAACCACAGTGAGAGACTGATACCAACCAAGTTAAGGCATTACCATTGTCAAATTCCACAACCTGGCCATCTATAGAGAGCGGGGAATTCATCTGTCATGACAGAACAAGGAGTAATGGTCTCAAGTTGCTGTGGGGGAGGTTTAGGTTGGATATTAGGAAAAACTTTTTCACTAGGAGGGTGGTGAAACACTGGAATGCGTTACTTAGGGAGGTGGTGGAATCTCCTTCCTTTGAGGTTTTTAAGGTCAGGCTTGACAAAGCCCTGGCTGGGATCATTTAGTTGGGGATTGGTCCTGCTTTGAGCAGGGGGTTGGACTAGATGACCTCCTGAGGTCCCTTCCAACCCTGATATTCTATGATTCTATCCCTCTTTGGGTAACTAACTTGAAACTAAAAAACAAGAAACAAAAATTAACTTAGTAAAGAAGTTAGATAAATAAAAACAGACGATGTAGGAGAGACATTACAGCAAAATCAGAAAAATATTATAATAGATGTAACTATGTGGCTAAGAGATTGAGACCAATAAACAGTAATCACAGTATAATACAATCCAGAATTCTCCTGGAGTGCAAAGATTGAGCTCCGATTCCTCAGAAAGAAATTTGGTTTATTTCTACTGTGACAAAGTTCCTCCTCTATCTTGGTGGGTCCTGTGCTTATTGGCGGATTTGCTCGCCTCAGAGATTAATGGCAGCCCTCAGTTTGGTCAAATCTGCCATTCACTCAGTTAACCTCATCACTGGCCAGCATGGGGAAAAAGAGAACAACCACCCCCACAGTCTCTGCTGATCCACCATGTAGGTCGGAGAACAACCCAGAGACCTCCCCTCTGGTGGAACTCACAGTCGAGGTCAACTCCCCCTGTGTCTGATCAGGAGTTGAGAGGTTTGCGGGGGAGCCCAGGCCCACCCTCTACTCCGGGTTCCAGCCCAGGGCCCTGTGGATTGCAGCTGTCTAGAATGCCACCTGGAACAGCTGTGCGACAGCTACAACTCCCTGGGCTACTTCCCCATGGCCTCCTCCCAACACCTTCTTTAGCCTCACCACAGGACCTTCCTCCTGGTGTCTGATAACGCTTGTACTCCTCAGTCATCCAGCAGCACATCCTCTCACTCCCAGCTCCTTACACGTCTCTCCCTAAATGAAGTGAAGTCCTTTTTAAACCAGGTGCCCTGATTAGTCAGCCTGTCCTAATTGATTCTCGCAGCTTCTTCTTAATTGGCTCCAGGCTGCTTGGGTCCACCTCCCTAAGAGTGAGACCCTCTGGCTTTGGGCCAGTATTCGGGTTCCCAAGGCCTTAGCTAGCTGCCCTTCTTTCACTTTTCGTCTTTCTCCCCTATCTAGGAGTGGAGAACAAATCTGGGGATATTTCTGAGACGATTGGGGGTTGACAATCTACTGTAGATGCCTCACTAATTTCAGGGTTCCCCTCTTTCTCCAATCCTCCAACTGGGAATAAGTCTCTAAGCCCTGGAAAGTCCCTCCCTATGAGCACCGGGTATGGGAGTTTAGGGACTACACCTGCTGTTACCTCAGTAGTGTTCCCTTGGATTTCAATTTTTACTGGGATGGTGGGGTAGTAACTAACTGTCCCATGGATGCATGTTATCTCCATACGTTTAGCCTGCAGCGGCTGACTACGCTTCATGAGCTTCCCTGATATAAGCGTGATAGCACTCCCCGAATCTACCAGGTGTGACTTAACCAGTTCCAGCTTGTTCTGGAACTGCCCCTGTCACCTTACCCAGGGAAAAGGATCTACTTAATCTGGGACTAATATATCTGCCTTCTATCACTCTTCTGTAGCCATCTGGTCTGACCCTGTCACACTACTTAGGATAAGAGAGGAAGGAGTAATACTCTTATAGTAATTGATGGATTATACTAAGAGGCAGTTGGACACCTGGGTTAAGAAAAAAAAAAGAAAATTGACCATGTCAAACTATTTGGCCTCATATAGACTTGTGATGCAGAAACAAATCTGGCATATACTCATCTTCTTCCACCCTCTCATCAGGACAGAGGTTCACACATCTGCTTCGTATCATGCCAAGGCAGGATGGCATCCAACTCCTGATGCCGCTAGGAGCTTTGACCCGGGAACAGGGCTGCCACCAGTCCAGGGACACAGTGTAGGAATAAGAGGAAAAGCCTTAAAATATCCAAACGTCTCAGGGGATGATAAAAACCTAAGAGCAGCAACTGTAAAGCAATGGAGATCGATGTCCAATGATCTGCCTTGCTGCAGGGAACCACCTCAGGATGTCACTCCACACTTCCATGCTCTTTCTGGAGCCCATCCTTCTACCAGAGCCCTCCCAAAGGGATGCAGCTCTCCATGCAGACATGCTTGTCTGTGAACAGTCCGCACATGGGCACCCATATGGCCTTCTTTGTGTTTGCCCCAATCTCCGATTGTGCTCTTCTTAGGAGATGATTCAGTTGAAAGAGGTGATGCCTCCCCACCCACTGGAGATCATAAAGTTTGAGCTTGCCAGTACCCTCAGGTGCAGGAGAATGGGACTGAAAATATAGAAACACGGTTTAGGAAATTTATCACTACAGAGGCAGAAATAATGGGTGGCCACTGGTGCATTTGAGATTCAGTTGCAACTCTCCAAGAGAACTCTTACCACCTAGGTCAGATTAATTATGAACCAGCCGAACAGGGAAGCAAGACTGGAATTCAACATTCTCAAGGGAATAATGAATATACACAAGTAGGCTCCTTCCAAACCCTCTCCTTGGTCCCCTGTTGGTGCAGATTGCTGCACCTCCTGTCCCATACCATCATTCCAAGACTATAGATTTGGAGAACATAAAGAACTCCTGTGTACATAGCCTAACCCCATAAATCAGCCCAGAGTACCATCTTCACCTTCCCACCCCAATAACATTCTTCCTCAATCACACCTGCAGCAAAGCTGCCGACCAATCCCTCCCTCCTTCCCAGACTTGTACTTCTTTCACTGAAAGAAGAAAAGAGGACTTGTGGCATCTTAGAGACTAACAAATTTATTTGAGCACAAGCTTTCGTGAGCTACAGCTCACTTCATCTGATGAAGTGAGCTGTAGCTCACGAAAGCTTATGCTCAGATAAATTTGTTAGTCTCTAAGGTGCCACAAGTCCTCCTTTTCTTTTTGTGGATACAGATTAACACAGCTGCTACTCTGAATCCTTTCAATGAGTTACCCACTCCACTCCAGGAGATCGAACTCAACATATGGCCTGGGGTTTTTGCAAAAATGAAAGCAAGAAAAAGAGCAAATTTCTGACAGTGGCAACATTTTACTTGTCTCTTCCCCTTCATCCCCCCCCCCCAGTTAACAATTCTTGGGCTTACTCTCCTTCTGTTGTGTAGCTGGATGAGGTATTTTCAGTTTGCTGATGTAACAGAAATTGACGTATGCAAAACTTTAGACCACCTTTGCTTATATGAACTTTTTAAATTTAAAAAAGTTCGACCTTTTTGAGATGTCCTTTGCTCCTCTATGCCCATCATCCCATCTTCTCCTTCCTCATATCCTCTTCCTCCTCAACCCACTGAAACCCATCTATTGTTTGGAGGCTTTGGAAGGGGGTGTTGGACTCCCCTGATATATGTCATTTTAGCACAAATAGACAATAGTTTTTCTGGAATATAAATCTCTGCTGACCTGTAGAAAGAATGAAAGGAGAGAATGGAAGGAAATGAATGCAAAGTTTTAACTTCAGAAGTTCGTTTGACAGGTCAATTTATTTTCAGTATATTTTTCCCCTTTCACATACATTTCACAGCTTTTCTGCTTCAGCTAGATCAAGTGAATAGATGGAACTACCATCTTAGTTGCTGACAGAACTCCATAGGAGCAAATCAGAGCAAAGAGATTATAGTAGCCAGAGTTGGGAGATTTGCATATTCACAGTATTGTTACTGAGACATAACAATACAGTGATTATGCAAATAAAATATCCACAGTTTAAGGAACTGCACAACTGGAAGGACATAAGCATTCATAACTCAACACAATTCCTGCACTTTGACGAAGAATATATATATTTCATCTAGATGCATCATAAAAATGTTTTAACTTTGATTTTGTCCTTCATATGGTGATATATGGTTGTCATCAGTTGAAGGTATAATAAAAACAGAGCCCTAATCTGTTTAAGATAACTTGCACATCAGCCAAATGGCATCAGGTGCTTTCTTCTTACAGTCGTAATGTTACTCTCCTTGAAGTTGGTAGTCCACTGGCATCCATTTTGAGAGCTAGCCATTGTTCATATTCACGCTTTGATACATGACAATACATATTTGTAAAATGTTGACCTAACTGATTCAGACTGTATTAAATTTACACCAGCTATTATCAAAAGGTTTACAAGTTAATTTTTTCACATTTTAAATTAAACTTTGACCTTTTTCATATTTTATGTTTTTTCATGACTTGAGATGTCCTGGGGAAGAAGTTCTTTGCAGCCAATTGAAGATATATATCATGTTCTATTAATTCAATAATTATATTTTCTCAGATTTTTTTTGAATACTACAAGCCATTAGCTGAAGAATCCATTGAAAACAACATTCATATTCCTGCCATGATAGCTTCAGTTTGAAAAGTACTGCGGAAGACAAAATAGAATGGTATTTGGAGAGGAATAAGAAAGGGAGGGAAACAGATGGGGTTTGCAGGAGTCAGGGAGGAGGATGTAGAAGAAAGTGAGGGTTGGCAGCAGCAGAGGAAGTTGGGGCATATACAGGTGAAGGAGAGGGACAGGAGCCAGGGTGCAGGGATTAGATAAAAGGAGTATAGAATAGAGGCAGGAGCTAGGGTAGGGAAGATAGATGCAAAGCAGGCAGGATTTAACTAGTGGACCACATTCCCATACATAATCTGGAATTGAACCAAGAGCATGGAGTCTTTACGTCCCTCTTCTGTTAGCTAACAGCTGTGATACCCACTAGGAAAGTGTACATTTAGGATCCCCTCTAGTGGCTGGCCCACATAGTTGGTAACAGCCTGACAGTACCACCAGTTACTGTGTTGGCTCAAGTAGTGGAGATCTGCGATGTGAATCGAAATGTCCAAACCCCTTACTAAATGACCCAAGTTGTAAAAATGTTAGTATTAAAAAAAAAAATAATAATTTTCCTCCCATTTTTCCATCCGAATATAAAACTATTTCTTCATGTTTATTTAAATGATTAAGTATTATCTACAACATTTGCAGACAAGACTAAACTACTATTACAGATATAATAGAAGAGAAGAGAGCCACATGAGTCAAGATAGCAGAAACTGTGAGCAGAAATTTGGGGTCAGTTTTAATCCCCATTACTCCCCTCAATCAACATGGCAGCCTCTAAAAATCCAAGACCAATTTTGGAAAGAGTAGTGAAATTTCTGATTTCTATCAGGATTTGCCAGTTTGCTCCTCAGAGGCCAAAAATCAAGCTCAGGAAAGGCAATGCAGAAAACAATGAAACAGTGAGAACTCTTGGGCAGTATGTACGTTTACAATTTGAGTGTATGTGAGTACTCTTTTCCCATCTGTAGCCACCACCATAAGTATTTTAAGAATGTTTATAAATTTCACTTGGAAAATAAACCTCATTCATCATTTGAGATTCATACCATGGTTTTTGAGACTCAAACCATAAATAACTGCATATAAAGATTTTATTTTGTCCGTATTTAAACACAGTAGTTGAAATGTACAGAATATACCAGACAACTCATTCTATCAATTCACTATACTGCTTTAACATAAGAATGAAACTACACATTCAGGACTTCTCTAGCCAACAGCTGTGTCTAAGGCCTCACAGTTAAGGAATTAAGGGTTTTTCTTCCTACTGTACTATGTGATGTTCAAAACTACAAATGTACATAGTAGCAGTAAATGAAGCACAGGTGCAAGTTTGCCCTAGATGCTTCATATTTGGCAGCACACTTTCATTATCTTTAATTTCTCCCCTTTGGTAAGACAGGCAAAGTATCCCACTTAATTAGATATGAACCCAGGTCAGAACACTAGAATTCCATACCCCTGAAATCTGGGAAAGTTTAGATTCTGCTACAGATCTGAAATTTGGGTCCTCCTCTATCTTTGATGATTGCTTGACTGGAAATAAAGTTCAAATATTAACAGAGCAAGAATCTATTCAACACTGAGTTCATACGGGCAGTCTTTAAGCTTGCATATATAAAGAAAAATAAGGGTAAGTCAATAACTGTTTTTTTTCTCTAGTTGAGGAATGAAGTAAAAAATGCAAAAATTTACAAGTGGTGTTTTAGGGCACATATTTTCTCATTTGAAAGCCAAACATTTGACAGTGGTAGGTCTCATCTAACCAATGACTCAACTGAACAGTTTGCTCATATAGGCCTGATTCAGAAAGGTACTTAAGCATGTGCCTAACTTTAAGCAGTGAGTTGTCTCAATGAAGTCAATGAAGCCATTTACACACTTAAAAATTAGTTATGTGCTTATGTATCTTGTTGAACTTGGGCCTAGAAGTAGAATTCTAGACAAGCAATAGTACACTCAATAAGAATACTACTGTCAGCTATTGATTATACAATTTAAATAAATGGCAAATCTCAGGCAAATCTCAATTATATACTGAAATATGGACAACAAATCAACGTTCAAGTTTTTGACCAACTGTATATAATTTGTTGTATAAAAAAAGTTGCATTTTCTTCACAGGGAAATCTTCCTGCTAACTATTTAAGTTTTCAACTACAGCCAGTATTCATGTACAATCTACTACTAAATCCATTCTATTATTAAGCGTTAAGATATTAAATGGCTTCTCATGTTAGGAGAACCTAAGCTGTCAATTTTTAAAGTGAGTTAGAGCCATTTCATTTCTAATAATACACAAATTGGCTATTATTTCTAAAGTGAACATCTCTACTGAGAAGTAACGATGTCTTTTATATATACCCACATTCTTTTTTACATTATTCTAAAGTGCAATATTTTCTTGTATCACAGAGTAAAAACAGCCCTGTATTTCTTTCAAGTATAGAAAGACCAACACCACAAGAACATTTTTAAACATTAGAAATGTTTTCTAATACACAAGACATATTGCGAATAAGCTTCAATTAGATATATATGGATTTTAGTTTTCAAAAGTTAGAATTATTATTTATTGCTAATTCATTTGTAAACCATTACGTTATAGTGCAAATTAGGTATAATTTCATGCAAGTAGCAATCCAAGTCTGTGAAAAAGAATTGCTGGATATTTTTCTTAATATCGGAAAAAAGGCAAGAGGAAAATCAGTAGAGGTCTCTCTTTTTTAAAGGAAATTTTCAACGTATTGAATTTGTTTCCTGCAAAATAGTCAAAATACATATATATGCTGAAGGGGAATGTTAGAGTCCATCAGATGACGTTATACAACAATTGCCAAGAAACCTCACTTTTAAAAATGAAAGGTGGTCTAGGTAACATAGGAGCTACACCCTGCAGGAAGACCATCAGTGTATTTCATTTTTTTCTGTACATGGTATACAAATTGCTTCTGGTAAATCTTCAGGAATAAGTTCACATACCACTGGTTAAACCAAAGGCAAGCCCTGTTATCATTGGGGTGGTGGTTGTGGTTTGATTAATTTCAGTGAAGCTTTCTTCACCAATTTTTGCTGCTGTCTTGCTGCTTGGGCTTCGTCAACAGCACGACAAATTCTCTGTAAAGCAATAGTAAAATTAATAAGGCCATGTTTATCTAGCTATCCCCACCAAAAAAAGCTGCAACTTACTGAATTATGGCAATTTTTGAAACAGGTGTATTTTCTAAAATGTATTTTAGTTCTGCAAACAACAAAACACGGTGACTGATTAAAATGCTGGCACTCACTGTCTGAAAGCAATCAACACTAGTGTAAAGATGTGAACACTGGACAAAACTTTCAACTTGTGCTCCTAAAATTGGGCACCTAGGCCCTATTCAGCAAGACACTTAAGCATATGCCTAATCTTCAGCAAGTGAATAGTCCCAACTGAGGTCACTGGGCATATTCACATTCTTAAAACATACATGAGCCCTCAATAAGACTCCTCACATGCTTAAATAGTTAGGCACACACTTAGGGCACTGATACAACAAGGTTCCTTAAGTAACTTCATTTTCACATATGCTGAGCATGTAAAATTTCCATTTAAGTCAGTGCTCTGTAGCTTTGAAAGTCAGACCACTTAGATGTCTAACTAAACATATTCACCTAAGTTGGAAAGCTTTGGCTACCTGTAAATTGGATGTACAGCCAACAACTCAGTAAGGTTAACATTTTAATGACTGCTCTAAGTATCATATGGTATTCCCAAAAATAGTAATAGATGATTTTCTCAAAACAATTTAACAAAATAAGGATACCAAAGGAGAGTATCATATTTAATGAAAAAAATACAACAAGGAGCTTTTAAGCTAAGAGGATGCATTAATTTCCATTATCCTGGATTCAAACTGACATGCCTTTCTTTTTAGAAACAGTGTACTCATCTAGTGTATGTAATATGACAGAGTGAAACTGGCTTGTGTGTATGTTATCTCCTTCTCTATACCTCTCGACATCTCAATGCAAACTTTGAAAGTGAACCAACCGCAAAGGTTTAGGTTCCCCAAAATTTGAAGACAACCTAAAACTTGTAATTAGGCAAGAGATTTTTTTCCACCCTGTAAAATGGGTTGGAGAGGATAGCAAAAAGCCCTCATTGTTTATCAGTGTGGGATTGAGGTGAAGGCCCTATGAACTAGTCTAGGTAAATACACTATAGATTTTAAGTCAGCTTGAATACAGAAATAAGGTATAGTATCCAGCAGTAATGCAAGGAACCTGCAAGGCCCAAGCCTGTAAGGTATTAGCTTACAGAGTTAGCATAAGGAATTCAGGCCTATAAGCCTTAGCGTAATTAAGTTGACCAGCAGTTACACTTAGTCATAAGATATATTATTTTGCTTGTTTTGCAGTATATAGTTCTGCTGAGATCTTATAAAATGCTGACATGTAACCACAACAAATCTGTTCATACCACTTTGGGGTATTTTAGGATAGGAATACCAGCAGATGTATAACCACAAGATTGCCATAGTAACCAATTGATGTATATGCTAATAAGTTTGACATCATTAATTACTAAGCTATAGGATAAGGATACCCACAACATTATTAAGGTGAAGAAGTTAGTTAGCAAAGGAGGCAGAGCTCTCTTATGAATGTTCAGGGCAGTCATCACACCTTATAATAGGCCCAACCAACATCTAAGCCAGAAATCTCAACCATTGGACTTGCTTGGCATGCTAGACACAGGTTGGCTCGTGGACCATCACCTGTCTGCCCACTTCCAGAACTGTGCGAGTATGCATATTATATATATGATGCTGGGGAATATATATATATATGTATGTATGTGAATATTTGATATATGATATGATGCTGGAAGTCAAATTAATATTGCACTACTGTTACTTTCTCATTTGCATAGGAACATTTGTCTTTTTACTAGTGTTAATAAAATTACAAAAGCTTTTCCTAAGTGCAAGTGTTGTAGCTGTGCATGGCAGGGTTCCCAACCGAACAGTAATTCTAATACTACTATACCTGATTCTGGGACTAGAACCTATCAAACTCCAGAAGTTTTGTTTATTAATTGGAAATTTTCAAATAATCAATATAGCCAATTAATAGAAGAGTCAACAGGGACATGCATTGACCTCTTGCAATATGGAGAATGAGCAAGTGCTTAAATCTGCCATTGTTATCTGAGTTCCTGAAGTTTCCAAAACAAAAAATAAAGATAAGTCACCTAACACTTCTACCTAGCTGTGATAATACAACAAAACATAAGAAATTACGTGAATTTTTGCTCAAAAATCTGAGAAGTAGCTCTGGGCACAGAGAGAGGGTCGTTACATGCACACTTGCTTTGAGAAAGGAGGGACCTGACATAGTTAGGGCTACAGTCTTCTCTGAACCATACCTGCTGCCTTTCAGCACTTACAGAAGGCACTTTTGAGACCTCCCAAGGCACTATCTTGCCTTTCACAAGATTCCCAGTGTTCAAAAACATATTACCTTAGGGGAAATTTACAAAGACTATCCGTCTTTGTTAGGATTGATAATGTACACAAAGGTGTACGTCTTTAAAAGGTACATGTATCTGGGTCCAGTGCGGTGTTAAATGACCTCTGTACCAAATAACTAGTAGTCAGGGCAAGCCTGCTTTAATCCTTTCAAGCAGGCCCTCCCCTTTGGCTGAATTACAGTAGTTTTTGATTTAGCTAGAATGGCATGAGATGTTAAAAAAAAAAAAAAAAAAAAAAAAGAGGTTACCCTTGCAGTAGTTTCATCCTTCAGTTGAATTTTCTTCAGACATTCATGAGCTGCATGGTCCTTTTTTTGGAACATTAATAGCCCCTGATCCTGTTACAAAGAGGAATAAAAATAAATTTAAAAGCCTTGGGGGAAAAAATTCACAACCCAATACTGGGTGCTTAAATGCCATCTTTTAAGTTATATCTGCTTTTCTTTCTGTACAGATCCAGGCCATATTATAAATAAATGATTTTACCCCACAATCATCCTAATTTATTATCCAAGTAGTTATGTTTAGAGACAGATGTTTACATATCTGAAAAATTAATTTTAAATTAGTGAATTTCTATGGATAAGTACCATGCAACAAGACTACTAGCGAACTCATAACCAGTGAAAAATTAAAAATACTAGTCTATTTCCCTAAATTTCAGGCAAAATCTTTAGATATAGGAGGACAGTAAAATTAGCTCCACTCAGAAATGACAACAAAGTGCTAAGTGATGCAAGGATACAATTCAAGTAGAATGATGTTACAATCTAAGTTCCTGAAAATCACGCTTTTTATGTAATTAGGGCATTTTAAAGAGTATAACAAGGCACAAAAAATGTCATCAACAGTACACATGCAGCATGCACTGGCTGAATTATAGTAGTTTTTGATTTAGCTAGCATCCTGGAAATGCAAAGATTTTGAAATTGGCTGACATACAGTAACAATATAAGAACACCTGGTCATATAAACAGCCTGATAAGATTGCTTCTTCAAATCTAGGATTCCTAACTTTCAATTAAGTTCTTGAATTTTCCAAGGAACTGGATGCATATTCTTAATTGAAAATTGATATATCAATATAGGTCTTAAGACCAAATGCTGAAAGCAGCAGAGGCTGTGCTACGTGTAAAAAAATTTTAAATAAAAATTTTCAGTATACCATTGCAGAAAAAAGTTAAGCTTTTGGACTTGTTATAAAAATACAGGTTTGAGCCTTATTAAAATATACTTTTTCTGTACTTGACATTATAAGTTTATTAAAAAGTTTCAGTCAGTTAAAACTGTGCATGTCTGTTAAAGGCAGTAAAGATGGAGAGGTTTCAGAGAGAGCCTATGTATACATCATGGGGTTGCAAATGTTAGCCAAGGGCATAATTTTGCCTGCAAAACCTTTATTAATGGAAGATGTAAGGCTGGGGTGGGGGCAAGGGGGAGGAACTCAATTTGACTTTCAGGGTGGCAGGAAAACACCACTCTCACTGTAATCACTGACACACAGAACTCCACAATGCCATTTTGATACTTTTTAAATCTAAATCATTTTTCAGAGTAGATCTGCATTTCAAAGGCATAAACATTTCTTTTACCTTCACAGTGATTTTTAGTATATTTGTTTCAACAGAAGGAGGATGTGTAAAATCTTCAAATAAATAATCCCAGTCTGTTACATGGCCTAGGATATCCACGTCTTTTACACACATCAGCCTCCTATCCAAAAGACAAAAGCAATGTGAAATATTTAACCTCCTCCTAGGACCACGACTTTATCAGAAGAAAACAAGGTTGATTTTGACTTAGAATCATAGAATATCAGGGTTGGAAGGGACCTCAGGAGGTCATCTAGTCCAACCCCCCGCTCAAAGCAGGACCAATCCCCAACATTTGCTTCTTCCCTAAAGGGCCCCCTCAAGGATTGAACTCACAGCCCTGGGTTTAGCAGGCCAATGCTCAAACCACTGAGCTATCCCTCTCGCCTTGTCCTTATATTTATAACAGACCAGTGATAATGACCCCTTGGCTCTGGAGCTGTGTTACTTGAGGGCTGTGGGTGTGGTGTTGGGACTACCTTGATAACTTGAGTATCAGGAGTACACAAAAATAGCTTATGTTTTAGACCAATCTGCATAAACAAAAAAAAAACCCAATCAGCAATTGGTTGGTTGAAAATTCAGGGTTTATCTTCATTGCCACAGCTAGCTCAAGTTGCTCCACTCAAGAGCCAGCACACAGCAAAAAACACACTTGAGCTACACAGAGCTATTTGATGAGTTGTGCGAACTCAAGCTGTAGCTGCATTCCTGCTGCATTATTAGCTGGAGCACCAGCAGCACTCAAACGTCAACCCATGTCCCCAACAGGCCAGCTAGCTTGAGTTTAAACTTAACTCTAAGTTAAGTTAAATTGAGTTTAAACATTTACCTCTAGCTACAAAATTTGTGTGTGGGGACAGGAGTCTGCTTAGGACTTACATTCCAGTTATATCTCAAGCTCACGCTGCAGTGAAGACAAGCCTTAACTTGTTACCACTATCAGGACTTCAATAGTAATTTCAACAGGCTTTTTCTACTGCATTGTGAATTTCAAGGTGGATAGGTTGTCAAAATTAACTAAGAGGGATTTTCATGTGGGTCTTGTATTTGGCAAACTTACTCCATGTGATCAGTAATATCAGAAACCAGCCACTCATTCTGTTTCTCATGTGCTCTTGGCTTCTGTTTAAGCACTTCTAAAAAAACCATCAAATCGCTCAGCTGTTTGGGTCCAAGACCATTAGGCAGTGACCTAATAAGTGATGTTCTCATTGTTCCTAAGTAGCGATTGTTATATTTCTTCCCATGTTTGTACAAAAAAGGCACAGGTGCCTCAACCGGCACATTAATGTTGGCACAGTTGTTGGAGCAAGTGCGATAAAGTAGATGTATACAGCATGTGAGTAATGTAATGTAAGAAACAAGGTTGAAATCCATTTCTCAAACAATTAGAGTTTGATTGTTACAACAATTTAGGAATTTTAGTTTCAGTATAACCTAGTCTACCTATTTGAGTAAAAGGGGCAAAACAATCATTTGGGAAACCAAACCCACAGTGCTGGAGTCCATTCATCTAATACATGAAAGAGATTATCTTTGTGGATGTTCATTTGCATGCATTGTATGCTTCCTAGTCAAGTACAGTTGCATGAAAAATGCCACAAACCACAATGACATTGATTAAGATGTATTCCCAAGCAGGTATATTAATATCAATAGAGATTTGGTTCCTTTTAAAATTTTTATAGGAACAAAATTAAGGAAGTTTAAAATATTGGGAAATAGAAAACAGGAAAGTTCACAGAAGTTTAATGTAACTTCTATAGGGCAAAGAATAATTGATTTTTATTTATCACACTAAGAGAGAGACAAAGCCCTGAAAATATGGAACTCTTCTAAAAAGCAGCTTTTGAATAGACATTAGGCTATGCTGATCGTAATACCTATTGGTAACAACAAGGTTTGTCTTCTTGCCTCCTGGAAGCACACAGTGGTATCGGTAACTTTCTCCTTCCAGCTTTCTGATATGAGAGTTCTGAAAAAGGAAAACAAAGATTTAAACTGGTCATGTTTAGTCTTAAGAAAAGAAGATTGAGGTGGGACCTGTTAACAGTATTCAAATAAGTGTTATAAAGAGCACTTGATCAATTGTTCTCCATGTGCACTTAAGATAGGATGAGACAAAATGAGCTTAGTCTACAGCAAGGGAGATTTAGGTTAGATATTAGGAAAATCCCACTATAAAGGGAGTTAAGCACTAGAATAGGCTTCCAGGGTAGGTTGTAGAATCAACATCCTTGCAGTTTATTAAGAACAGGTTGGACAAACACCTGTAGGGATGATTTACGTTTACTTGGTCCTGCTTCAGCAGAGAGGGCTGGACTTGACTTCTTGAGGCCCCTTACAGGCCTACATTTCTATGATTCTAGGAACATATTTTAAATGAGCTCTCAATTTATATTGGATTTATTATTTCCAGCTCAAAAATTTATTAACATCACAGAACTATAATGAGTAATCTCATGGGAGTCTCAAACCCAAGTTAAGTCATTTTGGAGATCTGTTCAAGTCCTCAGCCACTCAAACAGGTAGAAGATTCCTATTAATTTTTTCCACTGTCATTCTTTTTCTGCCACTTGCAGTCTTGGAGCTCTCTCCTTCTGCCAAGCCTCACACTGGATCCTTTAACACAAGAGTGAGAATCCTGTGATATGTTGTTTAAAGAATATGCCTAGTTTTAAACACACAACTCAGACCATGATCCAGAGAGAGAGAGGGAGGGAGAGGTGTCCCACACAAGAAACTATCAGGTTGCATCTACTCAGCACCTCTCAGGATCACGCCTTTTATTATAAAATGTTAGCAAGTGAAATGTTAGATACAAGTATTTATGGAACATATAGGTTGAAAAAGAAGCTTAAGGAAAATGCATAGTAAATCCAACATCTCAGGTATGTTTCTGATACATAAGTAGTAGGGAGCGGAGTCTTCAAGTAACAGTAAAGTTAAAAAAATTGTTTTCATTTCCAGTGAGTTTTTATGGACTTTATTCTGTTAAACCAAGTTCTTAGAATTAGCAACGTTTTTATCTGCTGTTTAACTGAAACATGACAATTCAACAATGTAAATACTGTCTGGGGGCTGTCTGTAGACTCGTTTATACTAATGTACACTTCAAATATGTAGCATTTGAGAGATTCAGTCACTAATATTGAACCTTTATCTTTGTGATACATCACAGAAAAATGCCAGGTACTGACATTTCATAAAACACCAAAAAACCAAGCAGTCCCCTCCACGCATTTACATACACAGAGCCAATGATAATACTGAGGCTATGAAACTGATGGGGATATGACAACACATCTGTGGGCTCTGGAGAAAGCAAACAGACAAGATGACAGTAAGTTATGAAGGTAAAACTGTGAAACAAATAATGTATTTCAAGAAATGAAATCATACTGAACACACAATTTTAACTCCACAATCATATGCAGACAAACTTGCACATACTAGAAAACTTGCTTCTTGCCTTATGTGGTAAACAGTGATTTAAAATCCAAGTTCTTCCCTTGGATTAACTTGTTTCTTGTTTACAGTCTGTATGTTCTGGGGAAATGCACATGAAGTTGCTCAACTGTAAGGCAGCTTATTAAGGGCAGGGGAGGTGATTTGCTAGGGTTAAAAAGGAATGTTAATATGGCAGCCTAAGATGTGGGCTGTAAACTGCTTTATGCTCATGTACACGTAAAATATGTAGCGTTTGGGAGATTCTGTCATGGTATTCAAATTTAGACCATGTCTGTTACAAATGTAGTACATCATGAGGCATGAATCCTGCATAATTTATTTTATGATTTATCATACTTGGATGGGTTTGGCTTAAGTTTTGGCAATAGCAACTGTAAAAAAACAACATCCCTACTTTCCAAGTTCACAGAATCAACTTCACACTTTATTGCCAAGCACAAGAGATTTCAATACACAAGAATATTTGCAATATATTTTTGAATAAATGTTTAATAAGATTTCAGCTCAATACTGTCAAGGCACTGACAAACATTATTATAATTACTGTCTGAAGTCTTTATAGAACACATAGACTTCTAAGAAATAATATTTTTAATTAATAAAATGAGCAAGATAAAGCAAATCAGTGCATGTCAGTTTTTTCTAAATTAACCCAACTCCCTACACTGTCTGTTAGAATGCAGCATGCACTGTCGTCATGTGTGAAACTGATGCAACTATGTGGGGGAATGAAAGGAGTAAAGAAAACCATACATCCTCTGCTTAGAGGGATGCAAAATGGATTTGCCTTGGATAAGAATACAGCTAATGCCTATAACTGGATGCCCAGAAGTCCTTCTGTGATCAAGATAATCCAAACCTTACTTAAATTATATAACTGATTAACATGAATACTTTTAGCTCCTCATTGCTACTAATGTTACTTAATTTTCTTTGGGTCAAGTTCCAATACCCTTACTCATGCCGAATAGTTGCATATTTTGTGAGTTGTCCCACTTAAGTCAGTGGGCTACTCATGAACCTGAATGACATTCAATGGAAGAAAGGTGAAAGAATTTGGGTCCATTTTTCTTCAGTTATTCCCCTGTTAAAGCTAAATTTTCAATTCAGTATATTTCTTAAACAAATATTCACTGTATTAATGTATATCTATCAAGAACATAAAAGTTAATCTTAACTTTGCTTCTTTCTTTCTTTCTTTCTATATTCTACTGTGTAGCTACAATTGCTGTTTAGTTCAAGTAAAATACATGGAAAGGTCTCAAAGTGATCATGGTTCACATCAATACCAAGTCCATTAAAATAAGTTTCAACACTTATTTAGGTTTGCACTTCATTTTCCCATATTTAAAAATTCTTTCCAAGTACTTAAAACATATTATACATTGCAATATACATTATCTTTCAACTCAGTTAAGATGGATTAAAATTCCAGCATTTAAAGTTATACGGACTCTGTGCGCCTTTAGAGAGGGTTTCAACAACAAGACACTCCAATAAATCTTTTTTAATCCAATATCCATTTCTTTCAGTCACCACAAATCATTACAAACAAGTTTCTAATCTAGTGTAGGTTCATGTTATAACACTTTCAAACTAGACTTCTCTTTCAAACTAGACTTCTTCTGATATTCTTAAATGTGCAATGCCAAATCAAAGAAATGAGAAAGCAGGAGCTTCACATTCAAATATAGATCCAAGAAAATTCTTCACATCCCTCCAAGTTAGAGAACTAAGGCAATGTATGAATTCTGAAATACATAACCCTCAACCTATCTAATGGACTTCCTATACATCTGAAGCATCAGTGTTTTACTACTTCAATTAAATGGAGCAAAAAACATTTTGCCAGCTTCATTCCAAAGATAACTGTATGTTGTAATCTATGGGCCAAATCCTAAAGTTAGGTGTGCATATTCAATGGCTGATTGTGAAAGACACCATATCTCAAACTGGAAATGGAAACCTGCTCCTACATTTGGCCATAAATTAAATTGATCTTCTATTTTTCCTCTTTGGCTGAACAATTGCAATCCTTTTTGAAGAAACTCAAAACATCTTTGGGAATTTCAGTGTGAGACATGAGAATCCTCTTCAATTTCCTTCTTAAAACAAGCTTAAAATACTGAAAAGTGCTCAGCCTTAAACAAAAACCTCAACTTACACTTTTATGTGCAGTAGGCTAGCTGGTTATCTTGCTGCTATTTTACTAGCTTAGCAGTCTTTAGAAAAATTAAAGCCAGTTAAAGATACAGAGATGACAAGTATATTTCAAAATAAAACCACCATCTACAAATTCAAGTCAATGCCATTTCCTGTTTCTTTTAACAATTTTGGTTACATTGCTATTAATAAATCAACAAACCAACCAACAAATGTAGCTGGAAAGTCTGAGAATGCAGCATTTCATTCTCAAGAGCTCCTACGCTTTTCTAGGGGAACATCTTTTTTGGGGAGAGGGACAGATGGGAGGTCTTGGATACCTTACCTCTATGTCCAATTAACTGTTCTTTCTATAACCATTTAAGGACAGTCATTTTCAACTTTCTTACAAAACAAGACTGAAGAGCTCCAAGTTTAGCTTTTAGTTTAGAAAGTAGGTTAACTATCTACAAGAAACTTTGGAACTTCTCTGTCCCCAGTGATAATCGCATAATCATTGACTTCAGCCTACCATTTTGAAATACCCAGTTAATTTTTAGGACAATTGCAGTAATAAACAATTGACCAGCTCTACTTGGCATTTAGTTCTAAAGGTGAAAATTTATTTTCAAGAAAATTTTATATTTACTATCATTTTAAAATGCAACCATTTTTCAGTTTGTCACCATTTTTCAGTCATGTTTTTGATAGAACAATTACAAGACAGACATTTTTATTTTAAAAGGGTTTTGATAAGCAAGCAGTTTCTAGAACCTCTGATAATGTTTTTGATAAATTAAAAGATAAAGAATTTTTTTTTTTTGCAAAAAATAAAAAGTTAACCAGATCTACTACCAAAAGGGATTGGGGTATAACTGTCACTAGTTGCATTTAGGGCTGAACTGGACATTCACTAAAATCACTCCAGCTAATACAGAAGAACAATCATAGAATTGGAAGGGACCTTGAGAGGTCATCTAGTCCAGTCCCCTGCACTCAAGGCAGGACTAAGTATTATCTAGACCATCCCTGACAGGTGTTTGTCCTACCTGCTCTTAAAAATCCCCAACGATGGAGATTCCACAACCTCCCTGGGCAATTTATTCCAGTGCTTAACCACTCTGACAGTTAGGAAGTTTTTCCTAATGTCCAACCTAAACTGTCCTTGCTGCAATTGAAGCTCACTGCTTCTTGTCCTATCCTCAGAGGTTAAGAACAACAAGTTTTCTCCCTCCTCCTTGTAACAACCTTTTATGTACTTGAAAACTTATCTTGTCCCCTCTCAGTCTTCTCTTCTTCAGACTAAACAAACCCATTTTTTTTTCAATCTTCCCACATAGGTCATGTTTTCTAGACCTTTAA